TCGTCCTTTAAATAAAAAATAATGAATTCATTGAATCCCTGATTAAAGTACAAAATGTATCTTGATCTAAAAAATACAATAAAAAAAACATGGTAAAACTATTGTAAGGTTTCCCCGAAAAAAAAATTTGTTATTAAAACCAACAGTGAAGATGATGACATTTCATCCCCATAACTGTTCCATCTGTTCCTTTTTTTAGTAAGTTAACAAAAATTGATATGTTTAATCAACAATTCGAATAAGAAAACACAATATGTCAATTCAAGCACACTGTTCCAGAGTAAATGTTACAACTATGATTAAGTGCAGTGAGTAATATGGTAATTGGAAAACCGAGACAGAAAAATGGAAATGTCATGCTTGACTTAGAGAACAAAACTTTTAAGGAAGTGAATTTTGAAACATTTTACCAAAATTGTTATGAATCAATAAAGCTTACATACGTTTATCAATTTTGAGTTTTTAATTATTATTACTCTGAGATTGTATGTTCATTTATGTGCTAAATGATATCTGATGATTTTGCAAGTCTACAATGTTTCTGATTCTGATATAATTTTTTGTTAGAATTTGCTATTTCTCTCGCATGATGTTCCAGCATCTGTGGTTTCGTAAAGATGTGTTCTTTGGAGAAAATGTTGCTGAATCATCAAATATTTCTCACATTTACCCAATATTCATAACAATAAATATGTCACATGATAGTCTGAAAACATATAAACTTAAATACCTTACAGTCACAGAAATATTAATACATACAAATATACAATAAATTAATTGATTCCAAGGATGAATTAATTGTAAAACCAAACAAACTTTAAAAGTGATCCATTGGAAATTTGGTGGTAGTAGCAAATATTCACTTTTGACAGTGAGTTTCCTGCGATTGTCTTAAAAAAAAAATAAATATGAATCTCAATTTCATTTATTTCGACCATTTTTCAATCCATAAAGGCTGTCACAGTAGTAATTAAAAACTCAGGGAGAATCACTGTCAAAGTGAAAGTCATCATTTTTACTGGGTTGATATGAACTAACATCAAATAACTGACAAAATGAAAATAATTGAAAACAAAGTCAGATATCTAGTTATGAATCAATTTCAGTAATATTTATGATTTATTATATTTAATCTTAATTTATCGATAATAAAACACCAAAATGTAAAAAATGAGATGATATAACACTGTAATTAAGAGACTCTTAAGTCACTGCCATACAAATACCTGTAATTATATCTTATCCATAACTCTATCAGTTCAAGTTCAAAATTTTATCTTTTAAATTTTCACGATTTAAAAGTTTGATAACATCTTTATTTCTTCCAACCTTATTAGCAATAAAGTTAAAATTTCAAGATAAAAATTGTGTTTTGTCGATGATATCTATACTGGCAGCTACAATTAGCCCATTTCATCAAGTTGTTCGTCCATTCAAGAAAACATTCAACGTCATGTTCAAGTTATTCCCAAGTCACTTTCATATTCCAGTCGATCTTGTGAGTAAAAATGATGTTTAAACGACAACATTAGGTGATGTTGATCCAACAATTTCCACCTAGAATAGAAGGATACAAAAAGTTGAGCATGTCTGTAAGATTGTCTGGTAGGAGAGGATGTCTGGGACAATGGTTGTCTGGAAAGGTACATGGAAGTACATAACACACTATCTACCATTACATGCATTAGATGTACCCCCCCCCCCCCCAGTGTTATGTAATACAGGACAGATAAAAAACACATAGTTCATATACATTGCAAAAATTGTATTCACTGAACCCGCTTACAGAAGATTGGGTTGCTCGGACCTTACAGATTTACCGGTATATACGGTACTGTCTGATAATGAATTATGGTAAAAATGGTTACTGTTGGCAAAGCTCGTGTGTTTATTTTCAGAATAATTATTATTATTTATTCTCTCAAAAAAATCGGTTGAAACAAATTGAAGTATCATGAATGAGCAGAATCACCACACAGCGAACACAAGGCAATCGTGTGAAATAGATCACCATCGCAACAACAAAATCAGCTCACTCAGTACACGCAATGATGTTTTAGTATTTAATGTTATTTATAGCAGTAGTTCCACCCTCAATATTCTGCAGTTACACATTTTTGGCTGTAGGAATATGCATGTGACAAATACATAATTACAAATGTATTTGCATAATTAATTAGATGACTCTTATTGTTGAAAGTCACAAAATATTCATATATAAAATCCCACCATATTTTCTCTTAGGTTGA